TGCTGCAGCATCTCTGAACACAGCAAAAGATGCCCAAAGTAAGAGAATGAGAGATCACAACAGCTCAGTGGAGAATGTGGACAGCCTTGGTCCTTTCAAAGGCCATAGACTGTGGCAAGAAAGATACTGAGAAAGGAAGATATTGCAAAATCTAGCAAGTTGATTGCTGAAAGCTGAAAACAAATATGTACTGCATGGTTGTGGTAATTTGTGATATGCAGCATATATCTGTGGGTAATCTGGTTAATTTGAGCACTATAGTAAACTCCTCTGGTACTTTATGGTAGTTTGAGATTTCTAGCTAGGAATTCACAGAGAATTTTTCTGTAACAAGGGTTACAGCCTAGATACAGAAATAAGCATTCAGTGAGGAGAAAAAGGAAAAACCTTTTCCTGAGGAAAAGAAATTTTAAGCATGTGGGCCATCCAAAAGAGACCTTGTTTATAGGAACTGGAAGATTTCATGGGTTAAGATGCACTGAAGGAGGGAGAAAAAACATTCAGTTTGTCAGGGAAGCACTAAATCTAAGGCAGATATTAAAGTTGCCACTATATGGACTGTGTGGAGAGCTGCAATGAGCTTGACTTAATCCAATAAAGGCAGTAGAATGGGAATGTGGAGAGGAAATTGCTAGTCTAGAAAAGGGAAAGTGGTATTTAAAATTGGGGACTGAATTGGGGCTGAAGGAGTAGGAACTGAAATTTAGGTAGTCAAGCTGAAGGAACAGGAATGGAAACTACGCAGTGTGCCTCTCCTACAAATAACCTGTGGTCAGCTTCTGTGGTGAAGCAATCCTGGGCAGAATGTTGTACCAGGCCTCACTGTATAGAAACTCAAGTTGATGAATTATAACAGGTGAAAGAAGATTGAGCAATGGATGCTGTCTTGAACTGGGGCACAGATCACTGCTGGCTTATATTCAACCTCCCATTCACTATAAACTCCAGGTCCTTTCCAGCAGAGGCCTCTGCAGTGAGCCTGCTTCCAGTCTGTACCACCACCTGGGATTAGTCCAGCCTTGGTGCACAACAACTTGTGGAGCTTCATGGGGTTTCTGCTCACCCCCTCCTCAAGTTTCTCAAGGTTCCTCTGTAGTGAAGATCTAACACTTGGTAGCGTCAGCCACCACCCCTAGTTTAGTATCATTATAAATTTGCTGAAGACACACTCTGTGTCATTGTTCAGGTCGTTGATGAGGATATTAAACAATATAGGCTCAGTATTTACCCCTGAGGGACCCCTGAGGGACTCCGCCATGAAACAGATGTTGAGCCATTAATTACTCCCCTTTGAGCTTAGTAGTCCAGCCAGTTTTCAACCCACCTAACAGTCCACCATCCAGCCCATACTTCCTCAGCTTTAGAATGACAATACTGTAAGAGGTACTGACAAAAGCCTTGCTATGTATGTCACATCTGCCACTCTCCCTGCACCTGCATTTCATCACACAATGCAGCCCCAATCTAAGGAAGTGCTCTAACTGCTTGGTATTGCATAAAAGAGAAATACTCAGGCCCTTCATGAAGAGAAAGAACACCTCCCTTCTACATTGTTTTCCAAAGTCTGATCTCACAGGCATACAATAGATATACACTCAGAGTATAAGCCTGCATAGGAAAATCACATACCTTACAGATCCTAACAAGACTTAAGGACACATTGACTGCTAGGACATACAGATATTTTTAAGGTCAAAGTGCTTTTGTACATGCTCTGAAGCTGAATATTAGATGCCAGTAATAGAAATTTGACTCCCTAAGGCAGGCTGCTAAATAGACTCATATGAATTGGAGCTAAAGGGCGAAAAAAAATTGCTCCTACCTCTACAAAGTCACAGCCCCAAGCTGAAGATTGAAAGCATTATAGTCCACGCTTCCTGGAGCTTTTAGATGAGAAGAGAGAAAGATTTTGTAGTTTGAAAGTGGGATATCGTAAAGAAATACAAAATATTTTCTGGGCAGTAATATGAACCAAGACCAAGCAGTAGTTTTAGCTTTGACCATTTTAATTAAAGTATTGCCTCAAGAGTTTCTTTAGGTAATGGTTCCTGTACTGTACTTTGTAACCTCACACTGCTTCTTCTACATCTAGTATAGCTGAAGGGGCCTTGGGATGGTTCCTCCTTCCTGTACAGTACTCCCATAGTCCTAGAATGGATATATTTATTCATTGTGGTTGTTTCAATTTGAAGTTTGTGAAATAATGCACAGACTGTGCTTTGCCCTCTCAGAATGTTGCTTTCTCATCATGAAATATGTGTTGTCTACCCTGGGACACAGAAGCAGGACATCTGGAGTCATATGAGGATACTGATGTCATTGGACGTTAAAGGAAAAGAAGACCAGAGCTTAACACAAAGACAGTTCAGATTTTTACTTTTTTTTTTAGCCCCTGAATTATACTTTGGCAATGCTTAAAACCATAGCTTAATGTAACAATGTTCAAAAAACATATGCTCAAAAAACATATGCTCAAAAAACATAACATATGTTCAAAAAACATAAAAGCATTCAAAACCACTGCTCTTTGATACAGAATTCCCCAGAGAATTCCTTCTGAATCACAAGGAAATTGTCCTCTTGTTTGTAAACCTCTGCTCCAGAGGCTGACCCCACACTTTCTATGTTCTTTGTTCCCATGAGTTGCACCACTCAAATCTAGAGCTCATCTTCACAGGTACTCTTAAGCAATTTAACACAAATTAAGCAAAATTAATTTAAAATTAGTATTTAAAATATAGTATTTAAAATGTATTCAGATCTTTGACAAATACAGCCATTTCAAAGACCAGTGCCTTAATTCAGGCTAGAACTTCAGAAGTTAAACAAAGTGAGTCAGTTAAAGCTAATTCAGTTCTAAGTTTGAATGCAAATGCATGGAGAAATCAAATGGAACTGACTCACTTTAAAAATCAGTTCAAGTTAACTCTTTTGAGGTTTAGACAATTAGGACTATTTGTGGAGTTTACTATAATTCTCAGTACTATGCTTTTCTGTGAAATAATAAGATCACTATTTCAGGTATACCTTCCAAACTCTAAAAAGTTCAGGCAGAAACGACAGCAACAAAAACCAGGATACATTTATAACTAGTATAACTTTTCTGATAGTAACAAAGCTAACAAAAGTCCCTTGGGCATATAATTAAAAGTATTTCCCATCCCATCTACTTTAGCAAGAATAAATCATAAAAGCTTCATAGATACCACACCTTTTTCCTTAGTGTCTTCAGGCTCTGTGATATTATCCAGCTCGTGGCTGTTTTCAAATTTCAGATTGGCATATGTTACTTCTTCTGTCATAGTTGGTAAAAAGAAAAGTGTCAGAACAAAAAGGTAGAAAAAGATCTAGCATTTGCAGCTAGTAAGCTAGGAAGAAAATCTGCCCCTTTGCGGGGTTTCCTTATATTGGCATGCACAAATGAAGCAACAAAGATATCCGGGTACATCTGAGCTTCCTCAATCACAATACTGCCAAGAAAATGTTCCTCTCACACTCGCCGCTATATTCTCTTTCTTCCTCTTTACCTCACTTCTGCCCTCCCTGACAGATATATATTTCTTTCTGCTATTATTGAAGAAAACGCAGCGACTTTTGTAGAACTCTTTTCATTAGAACTCTTCTTTTGGAAAGACAACATTTAATTCCTGATTACATCAGGTTCAGGCTTGAAACAGAGAACTGAATAAAATGTTTTACAGCTTTGAGGTTATCCTTTAGTTTGGACAGCTGTTTTCAGCAGCAGATATGTGATCACACTTTAGCTTCTGTTTCCTACTGGAATGTGCTGAAAGCAAACCAGAAGGTGGACTTGCATCTTAAAGCTGGCAAATTGCTCTCTCATCTGAAAGAAGTAAACACTTGTGCTTGAGGTTGGCACGTCAGCTAGGATATGTCAGGGTGTTGGCTCTTACCTTCCATGCCAACATCCCAGAGTGATCATTTGGTCTGGGAGCTCTAAGTCACCAAACTAGAAGGACCTCTTGACAAAGGCTACATCTCAGAAGGTATTTTCTTCTGCTCAGTTTTCTGGCATTAATGTTTTATTTCCATTTCTGTAATAACTTTCTTTATTCTTTGTTTCTTCTCCAGATCTATGGCATGTGGAAAAGCACACATGCAGATTTTGCGACTGCACAGTAAATTGAGTCTTCAAGAAAATACATTTCATATATCTCCCTCACAGAGATGGACACAGCTGTAGAAACTACCTTTCCCTGAGGTGAACAAACAATCCTACAGAGGAAAAGAAATGACAGGGAGTCCTGGTTAGCCAAGGAAGGAGTACATGTTTCATTGCACGAGAAATTGGCCACCTGCTCTATTGCGGTGTGCCTCCCATAAGTCTATTGGTCACTGCATTTCTCTGGATAACGGCAATTCTTTGTTATCCTGGTAGGCCAGTGCTTTGCTGGACTATTGCTATTATCCAAAGAATTGACTAGGGCAAATTTTGTAACAGCTGGCATTACTGAGACCATGAAGCAGGATCTTCTAGAGCAAGAGCAAAATATTCAGTTGATGCCAAAATGTCAGTGATTCTACCTGGAGTAGAAAGGCAGGCAGACATACTCCTTAATGGAAAGAGGAGCAGGAGAATAGATCATCTGAGGAGTTTTAAGCCCTTCTTCATAATGTTTTTTAGCACTTCCACAGTTGTGAAACCTTAAATGTGCATGACAAAAACAGGATGTCTGGAGTTTCCGGTACAATTTTTGCAATTTAGCAAACATGATGAATGGAACAGAAAAAGATTATGCATGCACATTACCACCTGAGTGATTAGTGTGAGGCTTACGGACACTATTCTACCCCATATTAGGAGTGTAAAGTGTTCTAAAAATGAATAAATCATATTAAAATATTGTTAAAATACTGGATCAGCCATGTAAATGGAACATAAAAAAAATACATTTAATACAAAATATCAAAAAAACATCCAAGGTTTCCAGAAACCGAACTCTATTCAAAATCAACTTGACCTGTTTTGGGGGGGCATTCTTGTTTTGGGGGGGCATTCTTGTTTTGGGGGGGGGTTTTGTTTGTTTGTTTGTTTTCCACAAGTGTGCTTGTTTAGGGAAGTGTCATTGGTAAAAGATGTTTATTTGTAAATACCTAAAATGATCCATCAGCTTTGTGCACCAAGATAGTTCTGGAGCTTTTGGAAGTTCCACCCTACATCCTCTCTTAGGCACCAGATTAAAGGATTTCAAGTTTCAGAGGCTATTCACTGACTTAAAGGAGGCAAGCCAGCACCCAGCACCTCTGAAAGCTATAACGTTTTCAGGTAGGCATTAAGAAAAATAAGCATTTGTATAATAATATCCTTTTTATTTATTTATTGCCTGTTATAATTTAATATTTGACTATTGCTCCAGATAATAAAAAATTATAAACATTTAAGGTTACAGGAAGAAGCCCTTGCTGTTTATTTAGTCAATACACAATTTGTTGTGCTGCATCTCAATATGCGTTTTGAAGATCGTTTGCCAGTTAGCAGTGCTGAAGGTAAATTGGAGAAAGATTTCTTGACTGAATCTAAAACATAGAGTGTTTCTAATCTGTTGTAAGCAAATACAGCTACAGATCATTTTCCTGAAAGTCTTAAGGACGGGAAAAATCAAAGCAGGGTGAAATTCAATAACGCAAATGGCAAGGCCACATATATGGGAATTGGTAGCTAGAACCTTCCAAATCAGAAAGGGCTCAAAAAGAGAAGGACCTGGGTATAATAATGTTTCCTGTGAGTTTGAGTAGGAATTAGGAATATACTGTGCCTATTAAGATCTCATACCAGTTACATCAGAAGAAGTGTCTGGAGCAAAGGTAGTGAAATTTAAGTGCTGATACATAAAGCAGTAGTGACACCACATACAGAATACTCTGCTTCATTGTTCTGATCACCAAACTTTAAGAAGGATATGATCTGTTTGGAATAGGTGTAGAGAAGGGCTACCTGTAAAAACAGTTGGATATAGTTTCTGTCACACTTCAGGAAACTAAAGGATCTTGGATTGTTTATCCTTGCCAGTTAAAGACAAGTAAGATTATTGTAGGAGTGTGCTGAAGAATGTCTGCCCAGGAGTAAAGGATTATAACCCAGTTTATGAATATTTCAAAGGTGTAAGTTAGAACAAAAATTTCTTACACAGGTTAAGTGAAATTCTGTAATAGCTTTCAGATGGGAGCATCCATTATAATTCAGCCCTCCATGTAAGCTGATCTTACACTTTCATTTTCCCTTTTGGAAAAATAGGCCTTTCCCAAAATACAGGTTGATAGTCATACATAAGGTTCACGAATTTCTATTGTACTCATAAAAACCCATGCAAAGTCAGGTATCATGGGAAGGATCCGTTCAATTATAAGGCACTTTTTTTTTAAACTAAACCACAAACCCAATATTACAAAAGTAAAAACAAGCAAACAAGGGAATCAAAAGAATCCTCAAACCTGAAAAACCTATACCAGAATTAGCTGCATCCCTAAATCTCACAGCTGCTCATCTAGGCATGTAATATACCACAACTGAGGCAACATGTGCCTTCAGAAGAGTTGGGAAGTGAAATAAATGTATCAGTCAGACCTGCTGGAATATACTCAGGCCAGCAAGCAAGATCAACTAGCTGTTGGTACATAAGGAGTTCTCCTAAAACTCAACAGAACAGAAAAATTTGATAGCACAAAATAGAAGGCCATGAGCTTGGAAGACTAATAAATAAAAGGACTGCTTGGAACGGTAAGTGCATCTGCTGGAAATGACTGTGAAAGCTGGTCACAGGATGTATATGGACCATTTGCATCCTGTGAGCATGATAAACTTTGGGAAATATGTTCCTAACAGCAACAGAGACAAGCTCATGCTCAGGCTCTGCTTCATCTGGAATTCGCTTATGGTTAAAGCATTTCTGGTCAGAAAAGACAAACAAAAACTAGCATGCAGAAAAAGGCTGTGCTGATGACAGGAATGTGAGGTCTCTCTTACAGGAGAAAGACTGAAAATCTTGTCTCATTTAGTTTGGCGGAATGCTGTCTGGAAAGGGAAATGGTTGGCCTCTTACAGATAAAGAGGGGCTAAACATCAGTGGGGAATGAGTCTTTAGATCTGTGTGATCTGACATCTTCTACAAAGGCAGTGACTGCAGCTGGAGGAGCAGGAGACGATGCCCTCAGCTCTTCTGCTTCCCTTTCCCCTTAAGGGCACCACAATGCAACACGGGCAGTTTATCAGACTAAATAGAACCACCATTATTTCTGGCTTATTCTATCACATGGAAGAGAACCAATGGTAGAAAGAGAGAGTTTCAGTCCTTTCTGCTAAGGCTGGCACTGTATTTCTGAACACAGCTGAATAGAAAGAAATGCTTCCGCTTCTCTTCAGTTCAAGCAGACAGTTCAGCTGGCATCAGACCATGGTGCAGTTCTAAGTAACGCTGTTGCAAATTATTGAATAGCATTATGACTTTCTAAGGGCCGAAAAGCTTGAAGCTACAGCTCTAATGAGGCCTGAGCCTGAGAAACCAACACTAACGATCAAAGCTCGGTCTTAATGGTTGGAAAGTCTGAGGGCTTCCAGCTCTGATGATCAACCTGTTAATTAACCAGTTAAGTTGATATTTTCTCTTGTACATCTTCTCTTCTCTTCTCCAAACATGTTACCACACCTCCTAGTGTACAAGTATTTATGATGTGTCGTATTTTCTTAGAAACCTCTTCTATGTTATTCAGTTCAAAGAACAAAATAACTACAGAAGTGGTATTTGATGCATGTTTCAGAGCAACAGCATAGGACAAATTTCTGGTTGTTTGAGCACTGATTCATTTAAGTCAAGAAATGGGCTCAGGATGTTATACTTTTCAGAGGAACAATGAGTTTCTGCAGCCCCTAACAGTTCTCCTTTGGGAACTGAGTTTTTCTGTTGTAAATTCCCTTTTCCCTCAAAAAAAAAAAAAAAAAAAAAAAAAAAAAAAAAAAAAAAAAAAAAAAAAAAAAAAAAAAAAAGATTTGGGGGAGCCAAAGATCACAGCCAACATTATTTAGAACACCTTTTATTAATTAACAGTTATTATTGGTAAAGCCAAGCAGTTATTACTAGAAGCAGATGGCTATTCACACAGCACATTCTCTTGCTCCCCTCATGCAGTTCACACACTCGTTCATAGGTCGGAGCAGCAGCAGCGAGGCCAAGTGCAGCATGACACTCAGCAGCAAAAGGGCATATCGACACACTGGTGGCTTCTAGGCAGGTGTTCGGAAAGTCCCTCGGGGGCCCCAAGTTTCATCAGATGTGTGCACAACACT